TTAAGAATTATTTTTAAATTAATTATTTAATTAATTTTAATTTGACCAGAGAGGAACAGAGTGAAAGCAAGAGACAGAGACAGAGAAAGAGAGAGAGAGAAATCAAGCTGCCAGGTCCAGGACTAGAACTGTGGTCAGCCATGTGGGAGTCCAGCACCCTTAACCACCATGCCACCTGCTGGACCCCCCCCAAGGTTAAACGTTTAATAGTCAACTATAAATAATTTTTAGAAAATAGAGTAGGTAGTGGAAAAACACACAAAGGAAACGATGTGCAATGATATAAGCTATTTTGTAAAAAAAAAAAAAAAAGTAAAATTAAAAGAAAAAGGCTTATGAAAATATATTCGTTTCATTTGTATCAAAGAAATATATAGAGAGTGTTTTTAAGTTTATAAGAACTACAAGACTCTAAAAAATAAATGGAAAAAGGGGGTTGGCAGTCCATACGAAGCAGATGTGAATATTAAATGTAGAGAAAATATTCTACATCACTGGCAATTAAACTAGTGCAAACTTATAAAACACTATATTTTTGTTTTTTATTTGCTGTAGGGCACATGTGCTCATGTAAGACAAAGTGAGAAAGCAGCCCCTTCTCCAGCCGCCTTTTGGGATTTTGGACATGCACACATGCGAGGCTGGCATATTTTTTAACCCACGAGGTCTGGAAGTCAAACCAGCAGTCGGCAATGTGGGAGCCTCCATAACCACCACTCCACTGGCTGGCCCCAAACACTATTTTATAACTAGTTAAGTTAGAGCCCTCATCTAAGTGGTAATGTGCTACCCAGGAAAAACTGGATCCCACATGTCTACCATGGTCCAAATCCCTAGCTTGGTCAGCCTAAAAGAGACCAAGCTTGCAACGAGTGTCCAAGATCTCATGGGCTGAAGGACTGGAGGAAAAGGGATTGTGGCATGACCAGACTGTGGAGGATGCTTCTCTCTCTCTCTCCCTCTCCCTCTCTCAAATACACACTCACTGTCATTTGTACACATGTTCTACTGTGAATAAAGAAAAATTAGAACCAAGAATTAATTTATAGTCACTGTTGGCAAAGTAGGTGTGAAACCCACACATTTCGTGCAGCCACACTGTCAGGAAAAACTAACAAAATCATTTTGGATACAGCAATTTAAAATATATGAATTCCAAGAGCCAGGAAACTGTTTATGCTCTTTAATTTAGGGATTAAATCTGAGAAAATATTGGATTGTTGGGAAAGTCATGACCTATTTTTCTATACAAACTTTCCCAACGACCTAATAGAATGAGATATCAGATAAAAATGGGTGTTTTCTGTTTTCTGATATTTCTGATATTTAACAGTAAGTCAAGATTGAGTAAATAGGGGTAGATACCCAAACATTGTCCTAATTTTAGTAGTTATTGTTTTAAAAATTAGGGTAACTTAGGTTTTTACAAAGTTGTTTAACGTTATATTTCTTATCGAACTCAGTAATAGTTTATCGAGCCCCCAAAATGATCAAAATGACAGTATTTTCTGTCGTTCCCAGGCCCCGTAGTAGGAAAGAGTCTCTCACAGGGTGCATCGGTGGACAAGCCTGTGGAGATGAACCACTTTACTCCAAGCTCTAAAGATATTTGCAGCGGTGATGCCTGTAATGTTCTGTCTCCTCCCAAGTCTACCTTGGTCATTTATTCCTTTGGTGATTCCACATTTGTGAGCTCTTTATATTTCAGAGAGATTTCCATCTATTACTGCTGCTCATACCAGGAGAAGAGGACAGCTGCCCATACTGTGAACTACCCTCACTATAATTTGCTTTCCTGCTATACCTGTGGTTGTATTTTAAAGGGCAAGTTTTAGCCATTGTGATGAAAAACTTCATTTTAATAAGACTCTACAGAGCCGGTCAGTGTGATAAGTAAGGCAGCTGGATCCCACATGACAGTCGTGCTTTTGTAATCCTGGGCTCAGCAGATTGAGAAATATGCTGGATGCGGGACCAGCAGTTAGTGTAATGGCTATGTCGCTGGACTCCCATGTAGTCGACCATGGTTTCAGTCCCGGACTCAGTGGCTTAAAGTCACGCTGGGCCCATGTACATACGTGCCCAAGAGGAGAATGGAGGAAAAGCGACTGTGGCGTGACCATCCCCCCTGGGGAGTGATTTATCACTTTCTGACTCTCTGTCTCTCTGGTGAGTGCATGCACCCTATAGCAAAAACCTCTTTAAAAGAGAGAGAGGGAGAGAGAAACATGCTGGATGCATGTGCGTGCATGCCCAAAACCCCAGGAGGAAGGAAAAATGGAAGAGAAAGGGTTGTGGTGTGACCATTCCCCATAGGGGGTACTTTCTAGACCTACTCTTTTGCTTTCTCTCTCTCTGTATTGTGCATGCACCCTCTGGCAAAATTCTTTTTGAAAATTAAAAAAAAAAATTATGGAATTTCTTTTCTCTTCAAGTACAGAATATTAGGTAAGAAGGAAATGTGACTCATCTGGATACCGGTAAACTCTGCTCTTGCTTAAACAATGTGGTACATAGTGAGTTGATTTGATTTCAGGACCAGAATGTCTTCGAAGCTAATTCAACACTACTTTATTCCATATTCGGCAAACATAGATTTAATTTTGAAGTGCTTCTTTTAAAATAGTATTTTATTCATTATAAAAGTGATAGAGGTTTAAAAAACTTAATACGGAAAAGGATAAAGAAACATAACATCAATCACCAATAATTTCACCACTTAGAAATGATCCTTGTTAGGGCCAGCAGGTGGCATGGTGTAAGAAGTACTGTAATCACACATGGAAGACCATGATTCAAGTCCAGGACCTTGAAGCATCATTCTGGGCATATGTGTGTACATGCCCCAAATCCCAGGAGAATGGAAGAGAAGGGATAGTGGGATGGCCATCCTCCCTGGGGAGTTATTTCTCACTTTCCCTCTCCTTGTCTCGCTCTGTCTCTCTCCTCTGGTGAGTCCACACACTCTATAGCAAAAACCTTAAAAAGAAAGAGAGAGAGAGAGAGAGGGAAGGAAGGAAGGAAGGAAGGAAGGAAGGAAGGAAGGAAGGAAGGAAGGAAGGATCGATCCCTGTTAAGTTTTGTTGCAGAAAACTCTAAGAAAGGAACTAGTGGTTATGTTGCTGGACTCCCACATAGTAAACCACAGTCTGAGTCCCAGATCCAGTGGCTTAAAACTCACGCCAGGCACATGCACATGTGTGCCTAAAATCCCAAGAGAATGGAGGAAAGGAGATTGCGGCATGGCCATCACCCCTGGGGGTTAATTTCTCACTTTCTATCTCTCTGTCTCTCCGGCCAGTGCATGCACCCCATAGCAAAAATCTCTCTCTAGAAAGAAAGAAAGAAAGAAAGAAAGAAAGAAAGAAAGAAAGAAAGAAAGAAAGAAGAGAAAAGAAAAGAAAGAAAGAAAAGGAAACTCTAAGAAAAAGAGAAATTGAAAATGCTGTATGGGTAAACATACCACGACTAATGGCCAGTAACCTAGTAACCTTCTCAGTTATTTCATGAGAGGCAGTGTGCTGTAGTGATGAAAATACTGTCCCTAGAATGGCCGGGTTTGGGGGTTCTGGGTCCACTTCCACCACTTTGATAATGTCTTTGGTTAATTTATTTAACTACCTATGCCTTGGGTGTCCCATCTTTTTTTAAAGCTAGAGAGTACATGAACATACATGGAAGAAAGAGAGAGAGAAGGAAGGAGAGAGAAAAAAAGAGAAGGAAAGAGAGAAAGAACCATCAACAGGGTCTTATGCTGCCAGGACCCTCTCGGCAAATTCTGAGTATGGAGGCTATGGATTAGAAATAAACATAACAGGGAACCAGCAGTTAGCGTAATGGTTGTGTCGCTGGACTCCCATGTAGTCGACCACAGTTCGTTTTCTCATCTTCAAATGATTTACATCCAAAAGCAACTGGCTTCGTATTCCATTTCCTTTGCCCCTATTTTAAGCCCTTTAAAAGAATAAACCTGAGGCTGGTTCCTGGTCACAGCTTTCTCCATCAGAAAAGCCGGGCCCACTCGATCCTTGCTTTTCTATACTTGTGTGTCTTTGGGAGTTTGTTATGTTCCTTTCTTTATTTTTTTTGGAGAGGTTTTCGCTATAGGGCACGTGCGCTCACCAGACAGACAGAGAGACAGAGAGACAGAAAGCGAGAAATCACGCCCCAGGGGCCATGGCCACGCCACAATTCCTTCTCCTCCATTCTCCTCTCGGGATCTTGGGCACGCACGCACACACGCCCGGCATGAGTTTTAAGCCACCGGGTCCAGGACGCGAACCGCGGTCGACTACG